TTTGAGAATGATGAGGGCAATGAATGTACAAATGTGCTTTACACAATTGATGTATGTATGGATTGTGATAAGAGTTGTATGAGCCCCTAATAAAACGATTTACAAAGAAAGAGTTGGAGTCAGGCAATATACTGGCTGTGGTAGGTGCAGTTTTTTACATCTGAAGCTGGAAACAATAATATCTGTACCTAATAGGTTTCACAAAGTCCCTGAGTGGCTTAAATAGTTAAGCACCCAAATACTAGTCAAAATGGTGATGGTTCACACAGAGGCAGGCACCTCAGAAGACCTTCTAAAAGGTCACACTACTGAAATCCTCATGGATCAAGTCTACTCTGCACACATGGGTCACCATGAATCTGAATCAACAACTGGTAACAATCGGTTTTATACATTTGCTTACTCCTTTACTGAGTCCTTAGGTGCCAGGAGCTATTTTACATGATGGGCATACATGAAGCTTGTATTCTAGAAGACATTACAGATGATAAATAAATGCATATAGGAGGGGAATTTTTAAAGCCTTCCAGCACACATACCCACACTCACACAGTGCTGGTACTGAGTCACTTCCAATGAATGGAAACACCATGTATCACAAAGTAAAATGGTTGCATATTTCCCAGAAGTCAACTTCCAAGTCTCTCTTTCATGGGCTACTGGGTTGGTTTGAAATGCCAAGCCTTAGGTTAGCAAAGCTGCCCAAATTGTTTGTACCACCCAGGGGCCTATGTGCTCACACACACCTGATCCTGGCAAAGGCTATGAAGAAAAAAGGGTAAGGGATAAAGATAAGGCAATGTGTATGTGGGCGTGTCTGTGTGTGGGGTGGGTGTTGATAAAGTGGAGAGAAGGCTTCTAAGTAAAGTGAGGGAACAGTTCATGCAAAGAGATGAGGAGGAAACATTCCAAACCAGAACAGCAATGAAGACAAAGCTCCGAGACAGGATTCCACTTAGCATGTTAAAAAGATCACCAAGAAGTTTAGTACGGCTTCGGCTGAGTGACAGAGGCACAGAGGCAGTAGGGCTTGAGAGGGGAGAGCAGAGAAGTTTCGGTGGAACTTGTAAACCTGGGCCAGGATTTTGGATTTTATTCCGAGAGCCACGAGAAGCATGGAAGCCCCCGACCAAGGGCCCCCTGAAACACCCACAGCTAATGTCTTATTCAAATGATGACACACCGAGGCTTTCCTCTCAAGAGCAGGGGCAGGCAGTGATTCCTGCCTTCATGACTTCTATCCAAAATTGTACTGGCAGGTCCAGCCAAAGCACCTACACAAGCAAAAGATATGAAAGGCCTCTATGTTAGAAAGGAAGACAATGATCTCTATTCACAAATGACATGATCCTTATATAAAAAATCCTAGAGATTTAAAAAACACAAGCCCTATAAGGGCTAATATATATTTTGAGCAAAGTTTCAGGATAAAATACCATCGCTCCAAATTGAGTTGTCTGTCAATACACCAGCAATGAACATCCCCCCCTCTGAAAGAAAACAATTCCTCTTAAAATAGTATAAAAAATACTATCATGCGTAAGGTGGGGAGAGTCTAGAACAATGAAAACTGTAAAGTATTGTTGAAAGAAATTGAAGAAAACTCAAGTAAATGGAAAGGCATCTTGCATTCTGATTTAAAGACGGAAAATTAGTAAGATGATAGCAGTCTCCACAGTAATCCGTGGATTCGATGCACTTCAAATATAAAGATCAGCAGCTTTTGTGCAGAAATAGAAGAGCAAATCCTAAATCTCCTGTGGAATTACAAGGAGCCCCTCACAGCCAATGTGAGCTAAAAAGGAAGGAAAAAGTTGGGAGGATTCATACATTCTAGATGAAAAACACCACCAAACTGCAATAATCAATACCGTGTGCTATTGACACAAGGATAGACATACAAATCAATAGAATAGAATGCAGCGTGGGAGTCCAGAAATATATTAACTCAACAGCTTAATTTTGCCAAGGGCGTCAAATTCATTCAAAGGGGAAACAAATAGTCTTTTCAACAAAAGGTGCTGACACAACTGAGTACCCACATGAGCCCTTGGTATGGGCTCATTTTTCCCCTCCTTCCCTCATAAACTCTTGATTTTATAAATTATTACTATTTTTTCATGTCTGACACTGACCGATGTCTCCCTTCACCCACTTTTCTGTTGTCCGTCCCTCTGGGAGGGCTTATATGTCAATCATTGTGATCGGTTCTCCTTTTCTCCCCCCGCCTTCCTCTACTCTTCCTGGTATCACTACTCTCATTATTAGTCCTGAGGGATTTATCTGTACTGGATTGCCTGTGTTGCCAGCTCTTATCTGTACTAGTGTACATGCTCTGGTCTAGCTGGATTTGTAAGGTAGAATCGGGGTCATAATAGTGATAGGGGTGGGGGTGGGGGAGGAAGCATTAAAGAACTAGAGTAAAGTTGTATGTTTTACAGGTGCTACACTGCACACTGACTGGCTCATCTCGTCCTTGTGACCCTTCTATGAGGGGATGTCCAACTGTCTACAGATGGGCATTGGGTCTCTACTATGCACTCTCCCGCATTCAAATTGATATGATTTTTTGTTCTGGGTCTTTGATGCCTGATACCTGATCGACACCTCATGATCACACAGGCTAGTGTGCTGCTTCCATGAGGACTTTTTGCTTCTCAGCTAGATGGCTGCTTGTTTATCTTCAAGCCTTTAAGACCCCAGATGCTATGTCTTTTGATAGCTGGGCACCATCAGCTTTCTTCACATTTGCTTATGCACCCATTTTGTCTTTAGTGATCTTGTCAGGGAAGATGAGCATCACAGGATGCCAGGTTATTAGAAAAAAAGTGTTCTTGCATTGAGGGAGTACTTGAGTAGAGGCCCAATGTCCGTCTGCTACCTTACTACTTAACATATAAATGTATGTAAATAGATCTATTTACCTATCATTATATATAAATATATTTACATGTGTACGTGCTTATATTTAGACCTTCTATAAATGTCCTTTGCCTCATATTCGTTCCTCTCTTTTCTTTTAATTCCCTCTCGTCCCACTATCATGTTCAGCCTTCATTTGGTTTCAGTAATTCCTCTTGGCCACATTGTCCTTGATCAAGCCCACCAGGTATCCTTTACCATCCTCACCATCGATTTTAGATCACTTGTTGTTCCCTGGTCCCTGGGTTGTTTGACACCCCACTTCCTGATAAAGAAATATTATGAGCAAGTTTATGCCCATAAATTTGAAAATGCAGATGACATGGGCAAATATTTTTTAAAAAACTAGATTACCAAAACTGACTTAAAAGGAAGAAGAAGATGAGACTAGACATGTCTATTAAGTAAATTGATTTGGTAATTCAAATTCCAAAGGAAAATCCCAGTCCCACATGATTTTACTTTATAGCAAAATATACTGGACATATAGATTCATGTCCATATATGGACACATAGATCAGTGTTAAAAAAACCAAGTCTGAAACAGACCTATACAAATATAATAAACTGCTTTTCTACATAAGTGTCATGGGAACTACATAGGGGAAAGAACAGTATTTTCAACTAATGGAATTGAATTATCTATGGAAAAAAAAATTTTGACCCTTTCCTCAAACAATTCATTAATTTGAAATATACCACAGACTTAAACATAAAGGTTAAAAATATAGCAGTTCTAGAAAAAACTTGGAACGGACAAATATTTCTTGGTAAGAAGAAAAATTACAAGACACAAAAATAACATTGAAATTCATTAAAAAAAAACCTTGGAAAACAAAAAAGGCAACTCAGAATAGGGATTTTACACAAATATTACTAAAATAACTGAATGTGTGATTTTAAGTTTTAGGCTATTTTTCACATTGTTAGCGGACAAAAAGCAAAATTATTACCCTTTCTACTGAAGACAATTGTTGCTGTAATCCATCACATTTTTTGTTTGCTTCTTCTGAAAGAGTTTTATATTTTTCTATTTGAGACTGTTGTATATTAATCATACGCTGTTGTCTCACACAGTCATCTTCAAAATTCTTTACCTGGAACTTTAAATCCTGAACTTCATTCTCCTGTAGTTATGAAGGTACAGATTAGTTTATGTGAAGAATGTACAAGGATTGATATCAAAACATAGGTGGAGAAAAGAAAAGACCCTTCCTGTGACTTCTGAGGAAACATATCTGTTCCAGGAAGAAAAAAGTACACTCCATTTTCATTTACAAAAGTCAGATACAGAATTCTAATGGCTGGCATGCACTTAAAATTCTTTAGCTCTGTGAAATAAAACATCTCATATTAGGTTCAAGACTTATAAAACTTTTTTAGAAATAACTTTTTATTTTAAAACTTAATTTAACTGCTATATCTCAACAAAACTATTTTTAAAAATTGTGGCATTCCTAAGACATCTTTGAATAGGAGGGCATTTTTTTAAAGGTTTTAGACACCTACCTTTTTATTGCATTCACATACAACATTATCCAGTTCCTCCTGCATAACACGGAGTTTGGCCTTTAGAAATCTGATCTGCGCCTCTGTGAATTTAAATAATTACATTTATTGCCTTTCACGGAATCTACGATGCTGCCAATTGTACGACAAACTATTATTTTATGAGAAAACAAGTGTTCAAGAAGGAGAGTCTAACAAGAGATCCTGTAGTATAAGGAATGCTGGGACACTAAAGAGTCACGCTTCTAATGCAAAAGACACCTGAGCACAAATCCACCCAACAGAGAGGAATAATAAGGACATGTTCACCTCTCAGTACTGCAAATGAGTAACGAGAGAGGGATGGGGAGGTGGGGGAGTGGGGGTTGGGTGTTTCACAACAACCTAAAATCCTCTCCTGAGAATATGAACCACAAGACAGGGCTCATATAAATTTGAAGACTGAACTAATATTTATTTACTAAAGGGGAATTTAAAGTGATCTCCGGCCAGCAGAAACAAACACAAATCCTTTCTGGCAAATTCAAGTTTGGCCAATGCAATTACAAAATGCCACTGATTTTGTAACAGACATCCCAATTTCAGAGAAGCTAAAATTTAGTGTCTGTGTCGAGGAATCAAAGAACACCTTCCTGCTGAATCTTTCACCAATTCTCCTTAAGCTTGACCTTTGGTGTTCCCTGCTAAGGAGATTTCTTTATTCGTGGATATTGGCAGTACATCTTTGAGGTTTGTAGCCCCATATGAGTACATAAAGTGAAGATTAAACATAGAACACACCTATTAGTCATTTGCTAAATATACAGTGAGTCTATTCTAAGATAAATTTCACTCTCCTGAAGCTTGTTTTGAGGAAACACTCTGAGTTTTCCCTGAGAAATCATACGTGAGTGTATGACCACTAAAGTCATACAAAGGTGATGGGCATAACGCTTTTGAAGCACCTCCTTCCACACTGCCTGTCCCGCAGCTTTTCTTCTTAGTGCTCCCAATGCTACCGTGGAGCTGACTCGTGATGATCTGATGTAACCCTACCTGGATTTCACGGGCCTCAATTCTCCTTCCAGTCACATGTAATTCCACGTGAGCAAAGCCGCATTCAGTCATAAGAAATTTGTAGCAATTTAAAGTAAAGTTGGCTTCTCCTGGTTCCCTGTACTTGGGAGCAGGAACATTTGGAGTAAGTCCACGGCTTACTCTCTACTGAAAACAACCAGTCTCATTGGGTCCACAGAGGCATCCTGAGAGAACTCTGAAAGCAACTGCCTGTTCCACCAACCTACCCTGCACACAACAAACCCTCACAAGCTTGGCTGGGAGCATAAATAAATGAACAAGTGAGCTACTCTCCAGTTAGGAGTAAATAGTATGAAACTCACTTGGGGTCTTGGTGGCACACTGGTTAAAACACTTGGATGAGAATTATAGAGTTGTCCATTCAGATTCACCAGCCACTCCACAGGAGAAAAGATCTGGCAATTCCCTCACATAGAGTGCAATGGGGGCAGTTCTACTCAGTCCTATAGGGTGCTGTGAGTCAGGATAGACTAAACCACATGCTACAACAAGATGCAGCACAGTAACTATTATACATATACTTATCATTTTTCATTGAAGCAGAATTACAGAGAAAAATGTTATGACCATCTAATGAAAACTGCTAAATTTTCAAATGAAGAAATTGCTATTAGATAGGCTAAGTGGTTTGCCTGCCTACTGCCATTAAATCAATTCCGGCTCACAGTGACCCTATAACAGGACTTCTGAGGCTATAAATCCCTATGGGTACAGATAGCCTCATCTTTTTCCGACAGAGCGGCTGGTGAGCTTGAACACAGAACTTGCAGTTAGCAGTCCAATGCTTAGTTGACAATGCCACTAGGGCTTCATAGTGCCTCTAGGACTCCATGGTTTACCTACAATTATAATTAATTGTGTGGCATTAATCTATATTCATATACACTTGTACTTTCCATGGCTTTCTATTTATATAAGTTCAATAATTTTAGAGGAATTATTGGTAATTAATGTAATATCTTTAGGTGGCCATGCGTCAGAAACAACTCCATGACAACTAACAACAAACTTGATATTATTTCTTTGCAATAGGCAGAATACATGGTTACAAAGAAAATAAGTGGATGCTTGAAACAATTGATGTATGGAATGTTTTAAGAGCTGCAAGAGCCCCCAGTAAAATGATTTAAAAAAAAAAAAAAGAAAAGAAGTGGTATGCACTATTTTAACCTGTTTCTAGATCAGTAATTCATACATCATTTTGAGTGTGTCATTGAACATGCAGTAAGTAAAATATTCCCCTGAGCCCCTAGCTGTTGAGTTAATTCTGACTGAGAGTGACACGGAGGGACAAAGAACTCCAGCAGTGGGCTTCGAAGGCTGTCATCTTCAGGGAAGCAGACTGGCCCCCCTTTCTCCTGCAGAATAGCTGATTGTTACAGAAAAACTTAGAGAAACACATGTCTTTAATATTACTTTAATGTCTTAACAAGAAGCGATGAGAACTTTTAGCTTTAGTTGAAAAGTATTCAGTGAAAGAACTGTGGTATTTTTTATAATAAAAAACATCAAATACAAAAATTAATCCCCACTTACCCTTCACCCAGTTTCAACAATTGGCTCATAGACAATTTTATTTCATCTATAATTCTATTCATTCCTCTCATCATTTTCTACTAGATTATTTTGAAACAAATCCAAGACATCACAATATATATTTTTAAATACAAAAAAACTATTATTATTATTTTAGGCAAAGATGTCTTTTTCTAAGTAACTGTGCAATCAAGATAAAAATAACAAATGAAAGGAAGCTTACCCGTTCCAATGTCTTTACTAACACCAGAGAAAATATCATCATCTACATTTTCAGATAAGCCGTTTTCATCCAGTTGCCCTTCAATTTTGCTAATTGTTTTTGCAAGAGAAAAATCTGAGAAATCTTCTGGAACGGCAACATCATTGGCATTTTGTCCATCAGAGTATTTCAATTTTATGCTAAAAATACACATATAATATAGAAAGGAGACATATCTTTTACCCAAATAACAAGGCAAATAAAAACTACTATCAGTGATTAATGCAAGATGGCATCTACAATAGACACATTCAAAGATTATATTACAAAAGACTTTGCAGACATCCAAACTTCATGCATAATGTGATCAAAATTGACCAAAAATATGGATTTTATTGTTTAAGAGGTAGGGATAAAATATAAAATAAAATTCATTTCTAAAAGCAATGAAGAATGGGTCTCGCTTAATCCATCAACAAGTCTATGGTTCCAAAAGGCTAACTTTTAACAAATAAGCAACATTACAAATTCCACCTGAATAAACAAAACTTTCTTTAAAAAGTAAACTTAAAGTCTGAAAGTACGAACATTTTACAATTATGGAACTACTACGTGGCATGTTTTTTTCTTGATCAGTCTGTTTTATATTACTCTCCCATTTGTCTTCCTAGCTTCACTTTTTTCATTCTTAAACAAATTTTTAAATATTTAGCAGAGAAATGGTACATTAATTAAATATTTTCAAGAATCATACTGCAGTGATCAGTTTGGATAATTATAGATGTATACTTTTGATAATTAGCTGAGAGGAAGTGTGGTGGCCCCCTTTTTGTTAAAGGTCTCCTATCTTAGTAAGTCTGCTAGGGCCTTTTTTTAATGTCTACAGTCCCAGAAAGAGTCTTGAATTCTCTCTCACCAAAAAGAAGAGCAGACATTATGATCATATTATGGTCTTGTTCTAGAAGAAAGGCTTGATGATCTGTTTCTAAAGTATCAGTCACTGAAAGCCCGGCAGAGCCCAGTTGACACCCATGGCATCTCTACGAGGTGGAGTCAACTCTATGACAACGGATAGAGCCTCACTTCACTTACACAGCCCTGCCGTCTTTTAGTTTACCCCAGAATGCACGGTATCCTGTTAGTTACCTAGAGGTAGGAGACAGTCTAGAGAAAACAAGGCAGAGATAAGAATCCTAGGTCCTACTCTCAGTTCTAAGAAAGTATCTCATAAAAATATTGGAAAATTTTGAACTGTGGCAATTTCATTTAAAGAAACATTACAAGATATTCATTAACTGCCATGAGATATTTCTAAGTGGAAAAGGTTTTATCTTAGTAAATGTGGGTACGATATATGATATGAAAAATTCAGGAAACACAGTACTTAGTAATTAAGAATGATTATATTAGAAATTATACATCTAAAATTATGAAATCAATGCTTTAAAAATTTTTTTTGAAAATACTTTTAAAACGGTATTATACCTTGGGGTTTTTTTCTTTCCATTATTTGTGGAGTGTAGTTTGTTTTGAACCTTGTTTACTGGAGCAGCATTTTTGGTCTTTGGCTACATGAAAAGAATGTAAATTACTGATTAAATCGATTCTAATTGTTTGCCAAGGAAAACAGTTTTGTATTAGATAGAATTCTATTTTTCTACATAGAATTGTTTTTATTGAATTAGCTAAATTATATTTTGCAGAAATCCCAGAAAACATTTAGATAGGACCTAGAGATGGTCAGAACCAATATATTCTGGGATAAGGAAAATAAATATAAAATATTCAAGAATACTCAGCTAGCTAGTGGAGCATTAAACGCTAATGTTCTGGCTCAGAGAATTTAATTCTCCCAACTCATTGAATGATTATTCACCCAACAGGGCATCTCTGGTTTTCATATTTACTGTTCCCTTAGTAGGGAATTTGTAAATCCATCCCAGTATGCCCAGCACCTGGAGTATGCCCAGCACCTGGAATATGACCTCGACACTGTAAACCTTTAAATGAATGAATCTTTCAAACCACTTTCTCAATGTAAGAGTAGCTTTCTTTCTCGGGTCTTCTACCTACCTATAAGATTTTGGTTTCTAAAAGAACACTAAAAAGTCTCAGGCTGCAAACACACTGCACTTAGATATTTGCTCCCTAATGGTTGGAAATGCGTCTCCAAATTGTTCAGTAAATAGAGACAAAAAAAGATTTGATCTATTTTATGAGCAACATTTTATTAAGGCATCCCTTATGAGTATCAAGGTTTATATTTTATTTCAGCATTTCATCTCTTCTCTGTTTTGTGAAAGAGAAGTGTAAAACATAACTTTCTACATAATATAGTTGTATTGATAGGTTTGACTTCATACC